AACTACTCCCAACAGCTCTCATGCGAATTCATATAACGCCAAGGGCACCCCAACTTCTTAGTCCCTTTGAGCTTGTGTATGGAAGAACTTTTCTGTTGGGTAAACTTCCCTTATGAACCTCACCCCTTGGGAGACTTTTTACCTGCTCTAAAACCTGACTACTTTGGCACAAGTACGCTAACACCCACCTACCAAAACCCTAATCCACTCCCCTTCCCCCTCTCAACATTAAGCCAGGGGACTGGGTTCTCCTAAAAGACTTAAAACCTCTTCAACCTAAGTGGACAGGCCCCCATCAGGCACTTCTCACCATCCCAACCGTAGCAAAATTATCAGGCATAAGTGCATGGATTCATTTTTCCAGGTTAGAAAGGTAGCAGACTTCAATTCAAAACTCCCAGGACATCCTGAGAAATATCATTCCTGGCTTCTCACACCCACCTCTGTCCGGCTAACAAGGATACCTGAGGAATCCACAAGAGGAGTCAGAATCCAGAAGCACAGAAGCCTAACTGCTCCAGACAACACACACGCAGCTGACGAGTGAGCTGCCCTGGCTGGTGTCTGTGTCAGCAGCAGGCGGTTTCTACGATCTCCTTCTACTCTCTCCTTACAAACATACCTGAAGTCCTGGCCTGTGAGAACACACTTCTGTCTTTTCTTTGGGACTGCTACCTATGAGGGGACTTCAGGGACTTCTTGCCCCCGCAAATAACCAAATGGACAGAAGTGGAAAATTAATCGTCCTCACCATGTTCTTTTTCAGTCAGGAAAAGTCTACAAACCTAAAAACTCTGCCAACTGAATGGTCTAAGGGCTCATGGCTATTATCCATTTTGCTCCATATCCTAATTCCCCTTGTCATAAGTCCCCTTCCGCTATCCATGGGACCTATACTTCTACAACAATTCTCCTGGTTCCTCTGCACGACCATCCAGTGACTCATGAGTGGGTAACTGGAATTCTGATGATGAGAGATGCCTGTTATCTCCTCCAGCCTCAAGGACCTCAGTGACAAGGACACCCCTCAGGTCATTAGTCCCTCATCGCCCCTTTGTCAGCAGGAAGACATTACAGAAGATGGACCTTCATCCATATACAAAGTCTGGGGGTCTCCCTAATAACAATCAACTCACATCCTTTCTTTTTTACCAAACACAAAAGGGAGGACTGTTAGGTCTGGGGAGGACTACTTAAGATGGCGCTACTCAAAGATACTCAGAATGGTGGTGCCTGCCCTACAGGACTTCCCCATAAAGTACAAAGACAACGAAACTCCTAACAGCAACAGAACTCCACGCCACTGGTCCCCTCTGAAACCCTACTTTACACACTAAGGGAACCAATAATTGCAAACCTAAACATCACCTAATTGACATAAGGCCTCAACAACTACCAGTGGACTTTTCGTTTAACTCCTCATCAACAGAAGCTCTGGCCAAATCACAACAACACAGCTCACCACAAGAAGAAACATAAGCCCAACCCCTGAGGGAGAGGTCGGGCTAGGTTCTATACCTATGTCTCTAACGTACCACCTATACCAATAAACTCCTTCTAGCCTGATTTCTAGTCTTGGTATCAACTCTTTGTGAACCTTTCAGAGCCAGATTCAGGGGCTTTACGCTTCTGCCCACAAGGGGACCCAACTCCGGACCGGGCGTTGGCTCCAGGGTTACCAGGTAGTCTCTGAGTTGGGGTGGAGGCACAGAACGTCTTTGCAGGTGGGGTGGTAGTGTCCTTGGCTGACACCCAGAGCCTCTTTGCAGGCGGGGTGGTGGTGTCCTTGGCTGACACCCGGAGCCTCTTTGTAGGCAGTCTGGTGGTGACCTTGGCTGCACTAGGATCCCCGCTGGGAGGGGAGCTTTGGGAGGAGAAGACAGAGGTCATAGGGCCAGCAAGTGGAGGGGCGGTCACTGTAGCTGGCAGGGGGAAAGAGTCGGAAGGTGGCCTGGCCCTGCCGTCCCAGTGGCCTCCCTGACATCCCAAGGCAGCACTGATACGCTGGAGAGCTGCCTTCTTCTCCCTGTCTAGGTCTTCAGCGGTGACTCGAAAACCTGGCTCAGGGCATGGTGGAAGCGTAAAAGATCCCCCTCGCCTACGCGGCAGCAGAGGAATCTTGCGTTTGTGGGGCCTGGAGCTCTGGACTGTGGGCGAGGAGATCTTAGAGGGGAGTTCCTGCCCTGTTGCTGCACCCGGGCTCTTCCTCTGGCAAATCTCAGTAGCTAAAATGGAAAGCTGAGGGCCCTCCTTTCTCACTTTTGAGGCCTGAGCCTTCCTACTCTGCGGCAGTTGGATACTTGAAGTCGAGCTGTAGGAGCTTGTGATGGCATTTCGTTGGGGGCAGGAGCTCAAACAACAGGTGTGGGGCATCTTACATGTGGGCTGCCAGCACCCCTCCCGGAGGTTCCTCTGTAGAGGCCCATGCCTCGGCAGGAAGGAAGAAAGGGCTGCATTGACCCTAAAGGGCCTAAATGCTGACTGTGTACAGCCAGTGTCAGCCCCTTCGGGGCCCCGTCTCTCACCCTCCTGCTTCTCTATGACTTTGGGGTCTTTCTCTTGCTCAGCCTTTTCTCTGATGCTCTCTCCAAGGGCCCTCGTCACACTCCTCGCTGTACAGGAGTCTTGTGCACAGCTGGCTGTTGAACTGAAGGACATCTTGCGATTGTGAGCAGACAGTATTTGCATCCCCTGGTGGAGACGTCTGTAGATGGAAGTAAGGACCCCCAGAAGGGAACACAGTATCTGCAGGGCCACAGGACATCTCCTGGCAGATGCTCTGTCACAGTGCCTGTGCGACGCTCCTGGGTACCTGTGGGATGGCCCACTGTTCATCCAAGGGCATGGGCTGCCAGGTGGACCCGGCCAGCCGTGGGAATTCTGCTGGCGGTGTGAGTGGGCTGCGAGTGTGTGAGCCCTTCTGGCAGGACATTGTCCCCACAGGGCAGGGGACACGGGTGCGGGGCGAAGCCTGCCCACGTACCTACCCATGTTGCAACTTCCAGTTGTGGAAGTTTCTCTCTTTGAGTAAGTAAGAGAACTGAGCACTGACAATGCTCCTCGAGCTGCCAACTCAACTAACTGAGTTAGTCAACTGGCAAAGCTCGGAATGTTTGGCCGGTTGCTGGGATGACCTATGCACATGCAGAGAATGTGCAGAGAATGTGCATGCACAGAATGTGCACGCACAGAATGTGCACGAGTGTGTGTGTAATGGATGTGCGAGGAACAAGCATACGCAGGGCATATGTCAGGAGCAGGCGCGTGCAGAAGATTGTGGAGGAAGAGGGGCGCGTGCACGTGACACAGGCAGAACAGGCCCATCTGACCTGCCTTTCCCTCCGAGGTATTTAACCAAGAGAAATAAAAACTTAGGTCTCCACAAAATCCTGTATATGAATGTGGTAGCTGCTTTATTTGTATCTTCCAGGTGTAGGACTACTAACGTTATCCAATTTTTTCTTAAGTGATTTTGTCACAGTTTTTAAGTTGTTTGGGGCAGGGCATAGTAATATCAATATATCATAATCATTTCACAGTCTAGGCTGGATTAATATTTTCCCAATTGAAGTGACCAAGGCAGCCTTGAGGTTCACCGCAGCTTGACTGAAGGTCCCTTTGCTCCCTCTTCTTAGAGCATTTACTTTAGACAACTTGTAAATGTGCATTATTTCTCAACTTCTCTGAGATGGAAACTTGAAAAAGCCTCTTGGCAATTTTAGAACCCAGGAATGTCTTTCTCAAAGACCTGGGAGTAACCCTTTGAAATGGAACCATCCAGGAAGACAGTGCCCCCATGTCCCAGTCTCTGCGGGAAGGTTGGAGCCAAACTTTAGTGGGCACCGTTTAGCCAACACGTATGGCTTGATCACAGAGAACAACATTTGCCATCTCAGGAATAACTAACTCAGTGTGCTGGACAGCTCCCATTGGTCCACCTCCCCCGAAAGTCCTCCAGTCCTTCCCACCGCTCACTTCAGTGCTTCAAAACCCTCCTGCCTTTTGTTTCAAAGGAGTTGCGCTCAGAGTGAGTTCTGGCCTGTTCTCCCATTGCAATAGCCTCATCTAACATCTTCCTTGTCTGTTCAACTTTCTCTGGTGCAACTTTGGCTCTGACAAACATAAAATGCAGAAGCCATGCATCCATATAGATTCTTTTACCCCCTGCTCTCTTTATTAGAGTTGTCATATGTATTCCATCCACATTGATTAATCCCCACCTCTGAGACAGTGGTAAAATTTTGGCATTCAAAACTCATGCGATGTTCAAGAATTTAAGAGGAGAATAGGCTCTCTCTTTGTCCGGGATAGTTTACTGGGTGGGTTGCAAAAAGTTCCTTTCACATTATTATGGGATGTCTGTCTGTGTTGTCTGGAGATGAATTCTCCTAGTTTTCTCCCATCTTCATGAGCCTTTTTGTGTGTTTGGTTTTGTTTGCCTTCCCTCTTTAAGGACGTCTCTGCTGCATCTTGTGTCCTGGGCTGGTGGATCTCTTCTTTCAGTGCTTTCAGGACGTTCTTCCGATCCCTTCTGGCCTCCTAGTGTGAGCACTCACACACACCTGTTTCTTCACTGCAGCAACTAATTGCACGTACACTTTAGACACCTACTCTTTTCTCCCTTCCATTTCCTGTAGATCTGTCACCACGCCAATAGATATTCCCTGGGTCATGTAGCATGGTTTGCACTAAAAAATGATCAATGTTTGCCTTGTTTCTTTTAAATTAACACAGTAGACCGGACCCCTAGAGGTCTAGCTGTAGCTCCACTGTGAAGCTTCATGAAGACACCTCCCTCTTCTGCTAGGTGTCTGAGCCTCATTCTGCAGATGAAATATTTTAGATTCTAGGGGTCAAGCTATGTTTTCACCATCACCATCACTGGGAAGGAGAGGATCAGACTCTTGACTGAGTATTCCGACTCTCTGTTGTATAAAATTAAAAGGGAGGAGGAAGAACATTTCTGCAAAGGTGGATCCTATTCAGTATGTTCCACTGCAAGTTTACCCGTTTCTTCAGCTGTTTTCTTCCTTACTTTTTTAGTTGACTTCATGTTCCGTCAGCTGATGAGAATGCATATATGTACAACTGTGGAACACTAAATTCTTTACAGAAAGGCTAATTTGTAACCAAAAAGCTGTTATTAAAACTTTATCATACTTTCCAATACACCAAAGGGAGGTGGAAGTGGCACTCACCAACAAAACAAGAAAGGCCACTTCTCTCAAAGCAGCAGGTATCAGTGCTTCTCCTAATATGCGGGGCCTGCAGACGGGTCCCCAAAACCAAAACAAAAGGAAGTGAAATGAAAAGGTAAAAGGGTAGAGGGCTTACAGCAGAAGATAATGTTATCTGATACTTAATTCAAACCACACCCTCCTTTGACGGATCACCCTGCTGACTCTGGACATGTCTCATCATTCCTTATGGCTAGAAGTGGACAGTCTCCTTGTATTCCAAGTTCAGAGTCGAGAAATGGTAAATAGAAATTTAGTGGGCACATGAAAGCTCTTAAAAAAATTTATCATCTGATAGGAAACAACTCTGATTTTAATCCCAAAGCAGAACAGTGGAAGCTGTTTTTTGCTTTGTTTTGCCTGATTGCTTCTGAAAGGAAAATGCCAAAAGCATTTGTTACTTCCATATACACACGTAGACACACACCCACACACACATTTTTTAAGGTGTGCAAATAAAAATCTTATTTAGGGCACTTCCCTGCTTTGAACAGCTTCACTTAGTAAACTTTAGACTATTCTTCAGAAGCCAAAAAGTATACAGAGCCCACCAACTTTCTGTAGAAAACCCTGTGAAAACAGATGCTGTTTCATACCAAGACTCAAGTTGTGGCTGCTTTGAACAATATAGAAAACACACTACACAATGTATCCAATATACCAATGTGCTAAAGACACTAAAAGACATTCTGCTTCTCTGAAGGAAGTAACCCTACCCCTAGCTTTGACAGTGCTGTGAACCACTGCTCCAGCTTCTCAAGTGCCTCCAAAGCATTTCTTCACTGGGACCACAAGTGCAAGCAGCTCACCTCCTCAGTATTTCCAACCACTCTCAAAGGCTGCTACAAAGATTCACCAACCCACTTCTTGTACCAAACTGGGCACAGTTAGTACTAAAATGACATTTGCGAGCTTTTTTTGTTTGTGTTAATTTGTTCCTCGGATAATTTTTCTTTTTTTTTTTTTTTGTCCTTTTTGAGACCGGCCGCACCGCGCTCAGCCAGTGAGCGCACCGGTCATCCCTATATAGGATCTGAACCCGCAGCGGGAGCGCCACTGCGCTCCCAGCACCGCACTCTCCCGAGTGCGCTACAGGCTCGGCCCTCAGATAATTTTTCTAATCCCTAAGACTTGGAAGAAAGAAAAAATCCCTCGGAAGGAAGAAGAGATGAATAAGGCTGTTGGAACATGGCATCCAATCTTCTGTCCCAACTGAGCAGTTTTAATTTGCGGTCACTTGCAGTGCAGACCTCCTCTAATTAGAAGGCGGAATATCTGTTCCTTTAAAGAAGTCTTTAATTACTCCACCCTTGAAATGCCCCCCCTACTATGGGGACCAGATTCATCACTCTCTCCTTCTCAAACCCAAAAGAAATATACACACCATTCTTGACCTAGAATATGTACACAAAAGCAACCCCAGGATAAGCCTGAAAATGGTCTCTCCTGGTCTCCTCCTAAACTCCCATAGTCAGCTCTACCTTAATATGCCAACATCAAACTATGTGAGGGAAAAGGGTGGGAACACAAGGACAAAATGCTTTGTTTACTTAAGGTACTTGCTAATAACTCTTTCAGTAAGACATGGGTTCCCCAGTATTCTATGGTTTTAGCAACAATACACGCTAAACTAGAAATCTTAGATTTCTATAAAGAACTGGGGAAGATTTCTAAGAACTGAAACTACCTACCTAAGTTAAGGGGAAATAAAAACAAACTTAAGGAAACAGGTCCACATTTGGCCTAAAATTTTCTTTTCCAAAGGCTACACTCTTCTCAGAAGTGAATGCAATTTAGTTTTAATGTGAGCTTAAATCTCCTTAAATAAATATTTACAGTTAAAGGCACAGTCCAAAAATGTGTAAGATCACAAAGACAACATTTTTATAGCAAGGTTTCATCCTATAGTAAGGAAAGTGATCCCACAAAATTAAAATTCCAGAGGACAGGATGTAGAAATCTGCTCCCTACCTATGACTCAATTGTGAAAGGCAGTCAATTCTCCTGAATATCATACATATCACTGTGGTGGAGCAACAACCAAACACAAAGAAAGCCACTTACTAAATTTAGAATGTATGAAAGAATAAGTTTCTCATAACAGGTGCTTTGAAACAGTGAGAACCGTATTTACCCATCATACCAACAGTAAAAGATCACTATATATTTATATTAAAAAAAAAAAATCAAAGAACACATCAAACTAGGATTTCAAATAATTTCGTATAATTTGGTTTGAGTATAGACAACGAGCAGCAACCACAGCAGAGAAGCAGGTGGGGGCAAATACAAGTATAAAGCTGAGGAGTGGACCCACTTGGAAAAAAAAAAGGGCAGCAAACTTTGCAAAGGGTTTATGTGGACTCTAGAATGTTTCCCAAGCTACTGGATCCATAAATCAATTTAGTAGCTCACAATCAG